ACTTAAGTGAATTGCTATGGTCTTTGCTGTTTGGAGTGTTCGGTATCTAGAGGTCTTTGGCAATTTATTCGAAACTCGATAGATGATGATCGAGGGAGTCTCTTCAATGTTATCTAGCTTTGTGGCATGTTTGAGCGAGGTGATCTAACCTAAAATTGTTGGTGGTTTTAACTACACCCGTATTTAGCCAGACTGGTAGGTATTCCCGAGCTTGGAAAATCATGTTCATACAGTAATGGCCAATTTAACTGCCTTCCCAAGGGTATTTGGATTGACAGATACAATCAGAGGTGGCTAGCTCAGGTAATTCGTCTTTCAAGTTTCGAAATCACACCCGATCGTATAGAAAATGTGACTTGCAGCTTACAGCCACTAAAATTCCTTCCTTCGATTAGTACATCACCTTTGAATTATAGTCGTGTATGTAGAGGCTTCTAGTTGACCGATACGCTATGTCTTCAAAACCACCTCTGTTTTGCGTTCGGGAATCGATGATAAACTATCTAATTTCGCCTCTCCCATGTGTATCTGCCAATTTAACATATCCTGTAGAGCCAGTTACATAGGGCGTACAATCAGCCGTTTCCCTCATCAGATTTCCAAACATCATCCTGCGTGTAAAGTAAATTAAAGGACAGAAAAAATCCATTCATAGCTCTAATCTATCTCATCTCGTGGATACATAACACAAGATTGCTGTCAACGAGGCCTTCAAGGTCATGAACCGCACACCAACAAATCTTAACTTCGCCGTAAGATTTCGATTGTTGAGGCTGTTGGGATTCACATTAAGAAGCCTAATTTGCGCATCCAAAAGAAGTTAGTTCAGACATTATCCTTACTTTGGCCATCTAGGTTTGAATGATCCTCAATTTTTGTGGAAATTTCCCTAATTTTAGTTGATATTCTTTCTATTTGCCATTATATCTTTATTGTAATTATAATTTAATCATCATTTAGACACGTCACACTAGTTACTAGTGTCCAATCAAAGTACCCACTACAGTCTTACAGGAGATCAATCGCGAGCCTGAATAGCTCAGTGGTAACGTCTCTGACTGCAGCATTGGGTGACACGGGTTTGAATCTCAGAAGGGAAATGAGTTCCTTCAAGGTTGCAGATACGCCTTGCTGACGAGTGCCAGCTAGCACGAAACCTAGGTCCAAGGCTTCTTGCCGATAGCCTTCAACTATTTAATATCATCAAATTTAAGCATCTTAACTGTAGTTCCACTGATCTTACTTAACAAATCGATATCATTTAAAAAACACTAATATTGTTATTGGCTACTATTCTAGAATATTCTATGTATATAAGGATGTTTATACAATTAATTGAAGAGCCAGAAGAGGCACTCATCGAAAAGGATATTCTTTGCTCAATTATTTTGTGTTTTATAGATGTTTGAATGAATATTTTCGCTATATTAAAACATTAATGTTTGTTTATAACAGTATTCCCTTAATTATTACTGTCATAAATGCAGAACCTGATGCGAAGAAGAGGTTGTCAAAAGGATATTCCTTGTTCACGAATAATCAGTCTTTTCATATTTTTATGCATCATTTTAATCAGTTATTAAAATAATAACTCAGATACTTTGTTTTTCGAGTTTGCCGACGGATTGATGTCAGTTAAAGAACCATTGAAAACCAGCGCTTGAGTACTATACATCTGTTTCATCCTAGTTTGGGAATCATCGGTAGTACGCACCCACTGAGGTTCGAACCCATGACTTTCTGGTTACAAGGCAAGTTCGTATGCTATTCAGCCCATGAATTCTGACTTCTACTAATTTGTGATTTTAGAACGGCCACCAACCAATGTCATCGAAGGGAAATCCATTCTCACTCCCAGCTGGATGGACTTTACTGCTCACAACTTCTCACTAGAACTGCAGGAAACTCTCTCCTGTATCAAGTCACTAGCGGACGTCAGATTAATTTTGAAGAGTTGGTTTGTGAGCATCAGATTTGTGTATACGAGTTTGACCATGGATTGATATCATTTAGAGAACCGTTGAAAATCAGCCAGGGAGTACTAGACAGCTGTTTCATTTTAGTTTGGGAGTCATCAGCAGATACTTTGATTGTTTGATATACTAGTGAATTTTTGTCTTGAAACTTAGTCATCAACTGTTTTTGTTATTGACTATTACTTGTATTTGTTGTATAAGGCAATTTATAAGTAGTAATCATCAGGTGGGATAATATTGTTGTCCAGTTGTGATTAGAGATTCCTGCTCTTGATTAGATTAAACTTTGGTCAGAGGATTTCATCATGAGCTGACGTCAGTTGAAGAACTATTGGGAAACCTGGGAGTATTGGGCAGCCGTTTCATCTTAGTTTGGAACTCTTCGGCAGTATGCACCCATCGGGGATCGAACCCATGACGTTCTAGTTACAAGGCGACCTCGCAGACCATTAAGCCATTGGGACCCGATCAAATGGCCAGCCCATGAATTCCAACTCCTTCCAGTTCACGACATAGCTCGACCACTTCTCAATGTCTTCTTCGATTAGTAAATGTCCTCAACTTCGGCCTGCTGTTCCCTACTGGTCATGGCTTCCCACTAGCAAGAAACAGCTGTCCATTGCTCCCAAGTTTTCTAATGGTTCTCTAACTGATGTCAGCTCATGACGAAATCCTCCAACCAATGAAACAAAATCCCTACAAAAACCAATACTTTAAACTTTGGTCATCCAACTCTGAACTCAGTAACATGACATGGCATTTTCTGTTCAAGATTGTCAGTAGGAAGTGTTGTAAACAATATATTTGTTAAACACGATTGTAACACTGTCATAGTTACCAACCTGTCAACCAGCTTATTGAAGTCGATCTGTCTGTCTGTCTGTTTTCGACATAGAACTTTGCACAAATGTGCGGAAGTTCAAGTCGCCACATTCCGTGTAGCACGCGAAGCAAGAGAAGAAAGTACAAGAAAAGCATAATAGAAACAGTGAGCAGAGGTGTGAGACAAAGGAGTAATAAAGAAAGACAAAACAGTTTCATTGGAGATCATAAGTCACAGGGAGTGGATGCATCTGCGCCACTGAGAACGATTTTGAGCCATGTCACCAATTGTTTCTAACAATTGGTTTTTAACGTCCCGAGGACCCCAACGCAGGGAGTCTACACCTTCCTACGTGGCTTAGACTAACTGTTGTACATTTCATTGACTGATGCCAAGTTTTTGTTTGACCGCCGCTAGCTTTTTTCCAGCCTGACCCTATATCCGCTAACATTGCTCGTCGAGGGAGGCGATGGCTTGGCATACGTAACACATGTCCTAACCATCTCAGTCTTTGTAGCTTCACGACTTCGTCGATTGATTTCCCCTGTTTACCTAGAACTCTACGCCTAACCTCAATGTTGCTCACCTTATTATGCCACTTTACACGGGAAATAGAGCGCAGGCACCTATGATCAAAGACAGCTAATCTTTTCATGTCTTCCACTCTCAGTGGCCAGGTCTCACAACCATAAAGGAGGACGGAGCGGACTGATGAGCAGTACACCCGCCCTTTGGTCGATAGTCGAACATCTCGTCTACGCCAGAGTCGGCGTAAACTAACAAATGCGAAACGAGCCCCTTGTATTCGTGCTGAGATTTCGTCAGAGATCAGCCCGTTGGGGCTGATGGTACTTCCCAAATAAGTGAAGCGGTCAACGTGCTCTACCACTTCACTTCCTATTTTTAAACTAGGCGTCGATGTAGTCCAGTCCTGTAACATCATCTTGCATTTGGCGGGAGCGAATCGCATGCCAAACATTCGTAGATTGCGGCTCAAGGTGTTTAGAAGACTCTGCATTTCGTCAGCGTCTTCGCCTAGAAGGACTATATCGTCTGCATATTCCAAGTCAACGAGATTATTCCTTGGTAGCAAGTCAATCCCTGAGTCGCTGAAGTCACCTAGGGTTAAGTCCATTAACACATCTATGATGAAGTTGAATAGAAAAGGAGATAATGGGCATCCTTGACGGACACCACTGGTCGTCATCAGTTCAGATGACAGCTCGCCGTAAGCCCTCACCTGGCTGTATGAGTACGAGTAGAGTGCCTTAATCAGTGCAATATATTTTCTCGGAATTCCCTTTACAGCCAAGCATCTCCAGAGAACTTCCCGATCGACAGAGTCGAATGCTGCCTTTAGGTCAAGAAATATAATGACTGTTGGACGCCGGTAGGAATGCCTATGTTCTAGAATCTGTCGGAGGGTGAAGATATGATCAATACACCCTCTTCCTGGTCTAAAGCCTGCCTGGCTCTCTCGTGTTTGTGCTTCCCGAGCACCACTCAGTCTACGCATGATTATTGAGCCTAAGACTTTAGATACTATATTAGTCAAGCTAATCCCTGTGTGATTATCACAGGAAGACTTGTCTCCCTTCTTGTATATGGGGATAATCAGTGACTTACACCAACCCGATGGGACTTCTTCTGATTCCCAGACGCTGCCTAGTACCTCAGTTAATCCGGAAGTCGATAATTTAGTTTTGCAATAGAAAACAAGTATAGCTTTAAAATGTTGAATTAGCCAAATAAATTTCGGTATTTTTCTGCTGTATAAATTAAGCGTTTATAAGCATTACAGTAAAGTTCTATAGAACATAAATGGTATTCAGAATGCGAATAGTCGCTTTGATTTGTCTGATTAGGTTTAATGATAAACCACACTCTTATGACCGATCAATTGTAGGAAGATGTTTCATCAAGAGTTAGCCAAAATTCAGATGGTTTGAACTGATTTGGCTTTCTGAACTGAGTCAAACCGGTGGTGAGCTCCATAGAAACTAGTAAAATGACTTTCCAGTGTTTAGGTCACACTTTGATTCGGCTAGCAAACACACCTGCTTAGTGTGAGTCGTATACAGCTACTCATTTCGATCAATCAGTAGTATTTGCATTTTTATTAAATATTTTGTTACTTAATTGTTTACATTCTTCTAAATTAGAATGATATTTATCAAAATAAACTTTTCGTGTATTTTTAGGATTCACACAAATCTACAAGTCTACTTAATTTTTATGATTCCATATCAAGAATAAATTCAAAGTGTAGCGAACTGATAACACATGGTCAAGATAATACTTATATGGATCCTTTGCCAACATTATATCCATCTCCATGGTCTGTAAAATCTGCTGGTGCCAGTGTGCATACAAGTCCAGTTCGATTGTTCAAGCGTAGCCTAGGAGGCAATAAATGTTCAGTTCAATCGAGTAATCAACATGAATCATCGCCTATTTTTAGTCGGAAATGTAAATTTAAATCAACAAATGCTATAGATTCATTGAATGAATCAAAACCATCGAAAGTATTGGAAATTTTTAATGCCTTTAGTACAACGAAACAATCTCTTTCTCCTTGTGGTGGTGTTGGTGATAATAGTGGTAATCATAGAACAAAATCTGTTAAAAAGAATAATTCCATTAATCAGTGTAATTCTGCTACTACTACTGATGCAATCAAATCGATTTTCTCCCAGTCACGAATGCTAATGGTGATGATGATGGTACGTGCAGAGAGAAAATAAAGAATATGAATATTACTCGCACAGGTATGCTAATCCAAAGCTTCTAGAATCGAATGTCTTGACCCAAGCAATTGTTCTAAAAAAGCGAATTCCACTGTTTAACCTTAGTATCTCGATAACCTTATGCTCCTAGTCTATTCCTAGCCTAATTTCTTTCTATTCCTTTACGTTCCCAGTGAAACCTAGGGCTTCAAGCTAGAGGTTTGAAGTTTCGGTAGCGATGTTTCTTTTTACGGGATGAGGTTGCTAGCCTCCTGCCTCCAACCTTCCCTCATTACCAGTCTTACTACTGGCTTAACGAGGTAAAGAAGTGCATCGGCCGGGGATCGAACTCCAATCCACATGCATGGTTGACGAGCATTCTACCGCTGTACCACCGACGCACATTCCTAACCTAACCTAGACCCTAATTTCTCTCTAATCTGGTTAGCCTAGACCTAACCTTAATCCTTTCCCTTATTATTATTATTGTTCCCTTGGGTTCCTAGTGGAGCATAGGGCTTCAACTGCACGTCTTCACTTGCTTCTGCTGTACTTTTCACCTGCATCCATGTTAGTCCATACTGTTTTAACTCCTCTTCACACGATCTCTTCCATGTCCCCCTTGCACTGACGACCCACTCGCCGCTTCCCTTTCGGGTTCCACTCCAGCAATGGCCTGACGCGCGCGCGATGTCACCCAGTGGCCTCCTCAGCGAGTGTCAAATCCACCTCCACTTTCTCGGGCATATTTTTTGGGCGATTGGTTCTTGATTTGTTTGTTCCCATAGTTTCTTGTTGGTGATTCTTTCCGGCCATCTAATCTTCAGTATAGAGCGAAGACAGTTGTTGATAAAGGTCTGCAACAGGCTGTTGGAAATATTCTTTGTGACCCATCCTGAAACTAGTCATATGGTCCTGTTTAATATCATAAAACAACTTTATGAATATAGTGAATTGAATCTTTGTTTTTCCCGTCGATTGATTGGACCGAGCACTTCGGTCCAATCAATCGACGGGAAAAACAAAGATTCAATTCAATAATTAATATGACCCGTTGCACAACAGGTGGCTCTCGTGGCCCAAGTGGTCTAGTGGATAACGCTTTGGCGTTTGAAACTATGGGTACTGGGTTCGAGCCTCGGTGGGAACATCATCACTCACTGAGAAATGCAGGTACATCCAGATGACGAGTCCCAAATAGGACGAAATGCGCATCCTGGATTCCACTGCTAGCCACCATCCACCAATTTTATGAATATAGTATTATTTAGCTGGTTTCACTGCTTAGCCCTACCGAACTCAGCGTTCCAATGTGTTATTATTAGTGCATCCATGTCAGTTGGGTGTCTAAAGTTTAGCTTCACCAAAAGAAATATGTATTCCACTTCAAAGAGTGACTCTGTGAGATGTGGCTCATTGGCTTTAGCACTCGACGGACAGCCAATGAATCCCAGGTTCGAATCCCAATCCGCCAACTTCATTCCCGGCAACTGGATCCTGTCAGACCTCCCTTGATAAGTTCGGCTCTTAGCCTGATAAGTGATAGATTTATTGTGGGTAATTGAGTTCTGAACAAATAACAACAGTGTTATTTGTTGTTATTGTGATTCTATTCCTTTACGTTTCATGAGGAGCATGATGTTTCAGCTTTGCAGTTTCAGTAGGAGTGGCGCTTATTTTTTCACGGTAGTGGGTTCGCTAACCTCACATCCAACCTTCCCTCTTTACCAGACTTAACTACCGGCCAAGCATGGTTTAGAAGTGCATCGGCCGGAGGCCGAACCCTGAACCTAGTCGGTGAGTGTTCTAGTATGGAACCGCCAACGCACAATAGTAATAGTAATAATAGATAAAACTATGGTTTAGTTTGTTTTGTTATTTATCTTCAGGAGGTGTCTACAAGAAGACCTAAGTGACTTTAAATTTCATTAAGATTTAGAGTTCACTATTTGACTTTACATTCAAGCATGTTGATTCCGAACTGTTTTTTCAATGAAAATAACCATATGCAAGAGGAGATTATGTGTGAATAATTCTCTTCAAATGGTACTAGTATTGCACTTAACCAACTACAATGAAGTACGTCGAAGTTTGGCATGTATGTATACATAGGCGTCGGTGGTTCATCGGTAGAATGCTCGCGAACCATGCACGTGTGTTGGGATTCGATTCTCGGCCGACACACCCCTAAATTTCGCTAAGCCGGTAAAGAGGTAAGGTTGGGCGTGATACTAGTGACCCCACACCGTAAAAATGAAACCACTGCTACCGAAACTTCAAGGCTTTAGCTTCAAGCTTTCTGCTACATCTGGAACAATCGTGCTGCCTCTACTGAGGTTTGGCGAGTCAAGTAGTGTAGTCAGTTGTCGTACAAGAGGGTTGTAGCTCATTACTAACTGCATATGAACAGGAATTTTTGTTGAGTAACATTCACATTTTGCCCGACGCCCACGTGGAACTTACATGTTATTACTGAATAATATCATTCTAAATAGTTTATAAAACACAAAATAATTTAGTAAAGAATATCCTTTTCGATAAATTCCAGTATTGCAATTACTCCCTTCCAGTGGTTAAATGGTCAAGAGGGATTGCTTCTTAATATGAAGGACTTAGGTTCTATCTCTAGTGGAGTTATGTTTCCGCGCTGTCGAATGGTCCCAAACTAGGACGAGACAGCTATCTTTTTGTTAGATGATCGACGCAATCAGCAGAATGCTTTGGACCTAAGTTTCGTGCTTGTAAGCAGTCATCAGTAAGGTGTATCTCCAATCTTGAAGGAATTCATATCTCTTGTGAGATTCTCACTTGAATCACCCAATGTTGCAGTCAGTCAGCCCAAATAGCTTAGTGGTGACATCTTTGGCCGCAGCACTGGGTGACTCGGGTTCGAATCTCAGAAGATAAATGAGTTCTTTTAAGGTTGCAGGAAACATCTGTCTATTACTATCTAATTTTCAGCCGTCCTCCAGCTGATGTTACTTCATGGTCTAACTTGAATACAGTAATATATATATATATATATATCACAACTGCAAACGCAATGGTGCACACGATTCAGTGTTGAAAGATGACGGAGACATTTTATGAATACTCGGGTAATTATAAATTGTTTAACACCTTCCAAATTTTCCACTTTATCTCTGTAGATTCAAGTGCAAATCACTTTTATGAAAATCCTTTAGCAATAATTAGTCGAGACAAGAGTTCATTTGGACAAGCTTGGTGTTGGTTTAAAGAAAGAAGAAAAGCTACCTCGATTGGTTTGAATGCTAGTCCAACATTTATCACTTTACCTTGTCAAAGTATTCTTATTGGTAAGACAGCTGTATATGATATTTATTCAACGTACTGCTTGTTTGATTACTCGCTTTTTCTCTCAAATATAATTTTCATTAATGGATTAAAACATTGGAAAGTGTTAGTTTGACTGACGACTATATAATAAAATGATGATACCCCTTTGAAACTATGTTGAGTAGTGTTCTTTAACATGTTTTGAAAGTAAGTACATACAATGACCTATTTACCTAGCTCTACAGGAACAGGCGAATTGATATATGGAGGTGGTCATATGCGGTAATTTGTCCCTCGAATTATTTAGAAGCAGTAGGGAAGGGACGGTGGAAGCAGCTGGAGAATATCACTGTTAATGTTGCTGTAGGAAAGGTTTTCTTTGGCGGACTATAGATCCTCCTGTTTAGGATACCTGCCACTAAGTCTACCCTGAAGTCTAAGTTCATAATATAGTTCATATTATAGTGTTTTCTTTTGCACTGAACTGCATTCTTCTCTCTTCTCATGTTCTCCTCAAACTCTGCTGGGTATCCATCTCCAGCCAGGATACTTTTTTAGAAGTAAGAGTTCTTCTTCTAAGCAATCGATGCTGCAGACTCCTGTGATGATGAGACGTCTCTTACGACTCACAAGTATCCAACTTTACAGTGGTCAGAAGACGCTTGCATATTTTACTGAATGTGTATCACAAATATATTACTATTTTAAGAAGTCGACACGGTGAATGGCTGAAGTGTCCGTGAAAAGTGAAGAAAATTAGATGGTATGACGAAGAAATTCAGTAATCGCTGAAATTTTCCCAACAATCATCGGTTGTACTAAACAACTGGGGTTCGAACCCAGAACCTTCCGGTTACAAGGAAAGCCCGTAGACCATTTAGCCACTGGGACACAACTCAATGGCCCATGAATTATAACGTCTACTAGTTCGTGATTTTAGCTTTACCACTAACCACTGTCATTTCTGGCGAGTATTCGTCCTCACTCCTGACCGGGTGGACACTACTAGTCACCACCACTTCCCACTAGAACTCGAGGAAACTTCACCCTGTGGCTAGCTACTAGCCAGCATCAGATTAGTTTTCAAGTGTTAGTTTGCAGGGATTTGATTTGTTTCAAGTTCGACCACGGGTGCTTAGTGCTGATGAGTCTCAGACTAGAGAAAACATATGTCCTGTACACCATTCTTTCCGATGGTTCCTTAACTGATATCAATTCGTGGTCAAACCTCAAACATATCGAATCCCTACAAACTAACTCCTGGGTGGAATGAAACAGCAGTGTAATCCAGTAAAACTAGAAACGGATTAAATATTTAGATTATAGGCTTTTTCTGTTGGTATTTGGAATAGTTTCCAATGTAGATTTCGCCGCGAACCAACATCAATTAAAGATCACCGACAACCAGGAAGGATTGTTCAACGTGCAAAGGTGGAGAAAAGATGGAGAAAAGGATTTAAAAGAATTATAATAAGCAGAAATATGTAGAATGATAGTGACATGGAAAAACATTAAGGTTTAGTGGACATAGGGCGTCACAGAGAAGTAAATACATCTAGGCCATTGATAACAACTCTGAGCCATATTACCAAAGTCTCCAGCCATTGGTTCGTAGAATCCCGATGATGCCAACAAGCCAGTCTATCCTTACGTGGTTCAGTCAAAGATTTCATGGACTGGTTCCATGTTTTTGTTTGACTGTCACTAGCTCTTTTTCAACCTGATCCTACATCAGTTAACCTTTCGCATCGAGAATGACGATGGCTGGGAATCAATAACACCTGTCCTAGGGTCATAACCTCATCGGTTTGCTTTACCTTCTTACCTAACACTCGACGCCTAACCTCAATATTACTCACCCTATTGAACCAACTAAAACGAGAGATAGGTCGCAGACACCTATGATCAAAGACAATTAACCTTTTCACTTTCAACACCCATGCCTCACAGCCATAAAGAGGGACACAGCGGACTGGTGAGCACTACACACGTCTTTTGATTGATAACCGGACATCACGTTTACGCGAGAGATGGTGTAAGTTGAGGAATGCATGCACGAGCCTATTGTATCTGTGCTGAGGTTTCGTCAGCAATCAGCCTGTTGGGGCTGATACAACTTCCTAAATAAGTTATCACCACCGTCTCCCAATTTACTTACTACCTTTAAGTTAGGAGTCGATGTAGTCTAGTCCTGTAGCATTATCTCTCATTTGACAGGAGCGAACTGCATGTCTGACATTCGAAGATTCCTGCTTAAGATGTTCAGAAGATCTTGTATTTTTGTTTCTTCGCCCAGGAGGATTAGTTCGTTTGAACTATACCCATAAAAATGTGTGCTGCTCCTTACATAATAATTCATGGTGTATATTGAATGTTTTGATTTCTAAAGGCAGCTACAGTAAAAACAAACCATACTTCAAACTCTCAGAATCTTGCCTTAATCACTTTGTTTTTTCCGCCTGTTCAAGCAGATTTGATTATGTTTGACTGAAATGCTTAGTCTCTGTTGTCATGTCAGCTTCCAGTTTGAACGCTTCAAAGTTGTTTCAGGATTAAATTGAAGTGATTTCGGTAAATGGCGACTAGCAGTGGAACCAGCGGATACGCACTTCGTCCTCCCTGGGACTCGTCATCTGGACGTCCCTGCACTCCCCAATAATTGATGGTATTCCCACTGGGATTCGAACCCCAGTACCCACCGTTTCAATCCTCAAGGCGTTATTCACTAGATCAATTGAGCAGCCACGACGGAGCTGGGTTAGAGTCTCATCGGGAACACCATCACTCACTGAAAAATGCAGGTGCACTCATTGGCAGAATCCCAAGGAGGATGAAATGCTAATCACCATCAACCAAAGAATACTATTTTGTTTACCTAGAAAATAAGTGAAAAACTTTCTTTGTACAGAAATACAATCTCCGTTGATTTGGTTTATTACTTATTCCATGAAATTATTATCACAGTGATATAGTAGATAAATACTTCAATATGACTGTATACGTATTATATGAAATATATTGACCCAATTGGGTTCTAATACTCATGAAGCTTTACTTGTCTTTTGATTTTAGATTTGCTTGAAATTAGAAGAGAGCCCATACTTAATTTCACCAGTCGGTGATTTCCTCTGTGATTTATCGTAACAACAACAAAGCAGAACTTAATCGAAAAATTAATCAGCTTGCTCAAGTTCTTCTTATTCGACGAATTTCAGCTTTTTCTTTTTGTTTTTTTTTTTAATTGTTGTATGTGATATCAATCAGGCATTCCTTGATATAATTAAATTGGCTTTTATTTATTTATTTATCATATGACACTGTGTCTTTGAGTCCTTATGTGCACTGTGTTTTCTAGATGTGACTTTTGTGTGCTTGAATTCTATTATTTTTCGTCTTTTAAACAAAAAAACCACCTGCCTTGTCTATGCATAATAATTATTTGGAACATATGTTGAATATATATTACAATTTCCAGCACATCCTATTGTTTTTATTTTAATTTGTTGCGACTAATGAACTCATCGTATGAAGGATATACTCACTGATTCAATACACATATATGCTCGAACCTAGGTTACGTCACATCAACTGACTACCTTCAACTCCTATAGAAATGGCTATGATGTGTATGTGAAAGAGGAAATATTATTATTCCCTTGGGTTCCGAGTGGAACAAACGGCTTTAACAGCACATCTCCATTTTATCCTCTCGTCTGCAGTCTCCTTGAGCCGGCTTCACCATCTCCTATAGGCTTTCATCTCCTCCTAACACGACGTCTTCCGTGTCACCTTCGGACCGATGCCCAACTAATTCGCTGTTCCCCGTTCGGGCTCCATGCATGATGTCATTTGACGGTCTCCTGGACGTTCGAACTACTTCCATTTCCTTTGGCATATGCCTAGTCATCGCCTTCCTCAACCGACAGGCAATGTTAGCTGATATAGGGCCAGGCTGGAAAAGAGCTAGCGGCGGTAAACCAAAACATGGCACCAGTCAATGAAATCCACAACAGTTAGTCTAAGCCACGTAGGAAGCAGTAGACTTCCTTTCTCGTTGGGGTCCTCGGGACGGTAAAAGCCAATGGTTGGAAACAATTGGTGATACGGCTCAAAATCGTTCTCAATGGCTGGTGCAGGTGCATCCACTCCCTGTGACTTATGATTTCCAGTGAAACTATATTGTTCTCCGTTATTACTATTCCTTTGTCTCACACCTCTGTTAACTGTCTCTATTAAGGATTTCTTCTCTTGCTTTGTGTGCTACATGGAGTGTGGCGACTCGAACTGCTGCACATCGATGCAAAGTTCTATGCCGAAAACAGATAGACAGACCTTTGGCATATTTATTGGGCAGTAAGTTGTTGATTGGTTCGTTGCCAGGGTTCCGAACCGACCATCATCTAGTTTACCAGCCAGGTCAGTCATATGCATACGGAAAAAGAAGAAAGACTAAGCATAAGACTAGCGACCCCTATCCTAGGAAATCAACTCAATCACTACAAAAACCTCAAAGCATAGCAAGAGAAATTATAATGGTAACGAAATTGTAATCTATTGAACCGTAACCCCACCACATGCTCTCTGAAAATGCACAATAGGCATTTTAACCCATTACCCCTCTTCCAACGAAAAACAAAACATTCATGAATTACTCTAATAAACTTTATGAAACGTATGAATTACTGTACACAAGTATCACTTCTTTTGAGTCTCTTCACCCTCGACTGTCTTTATCAAAGTATCAACTTCACTTTGATTAATCAGACGTACATAAGTCTTCTCATTGCGTCTTTGAAGTACCCCGATTTCAACCTTTAAAAAACAGAGAGAGAAATTACATGTTAGATATCCTGATAAAATAGGTAGGAAGTTCTACTAACAAAAAATACCTTACCTTCTCTGATGTCAGTTTAGACATTGTCATTGTTTTATATAACACCTTTACACAGAGTTTTGTGGCCTCTTCAACTGTAGCGTCAGCATTGTAGTCTTGTTCTAAAATGGAGCCAGCTGCAGTTGCATTTGACCCTATGCAAGCGGCGTTCCATCCAAGAAAATTCCCCGATGGATCTGTTTGATACAACTGATAGCCGTAACGCTTATCCCAACCAATAAACAACATGGAAACACCAAAAGGTCTTCTGCCACCATACATAGTATATCCGTGTTGAAGATCACATATATGACAAACAAGCTGCTCTATTGGCATAGGCTCTTGGTACGATAACAGGTACCTACAAAATGAATATAAAAGTGCATTATAATACATATTCAAAGTCGTATGAAAATTCGTGGGTAGATATTACTTATTAGATTGCAAGTGTCTATTCATATTATACCTTACTTTGTAAATGCGAGTACAGAGATTTTGGAATTCCCTTGATTCATTCGGTTCAACCGACTATCCAATGTGGAAAGCAGACTTTTTCTTGTGTGAAAGGTTTAAGAACTCAACCTACCACTTTCAAAGGTCGGATTTCGTGCTGAAGGGCACGGATATCAGCTAATTTTCTGTATAGATAACGGAATACTGCACTTATATACGTACGATGCTAAGTACAGCATTGTTCTAATGTCAAATAGCTGGAGATAGTTAAGTGAAGCGACAGTTTTGGCACTTAATCCGACTTGATCCGAAGGCTATGTGGTTCTCAGTTAGTATTTGAGCTAAAACCCTGCTCCGCATATTCCAGCCTAAGTAGTAGCGTTAGTGCTCTCACACTAGATGTGATTCATAGAGCTCAGTTCATCAAGTATCTGTTCAGGATAACTGAGTTCTTAGAATAACCGACATTTCTAGTTGTTCTAACTCTAGGTAAGTTGAAAAAGGTTAGTCAGAATACTTGCATGTAATCTGATCCTACAGTGTTTTGTTGAAAAGGCTGAATTTTGTCAAAACACAGGATAGAATAACTGACTGTCTGAATTCTAACATAAAACTATGCACATAAGTGCACTCCATGAAGAGCATAAAGCTAAAGAAAACAGGAATTCGAAAGAACGAGGATAAGGAGAATTGTGCGGGAAAGAGAATATTAGCATGGAATTACGAGGTTTTAATAGATTTGGGAAATTACAAAACTGAATGCTTCCGCGTTACTGAGAACGATTTTCCATCATATTACCACAAGATAGTAGGTTACATAACGTTCTTGAAACAGCCATATGGTACATTTAAAACAGATTTCTTTAGAGGTGTAGAATATTGTAGAACCTAATCCACGATTAAGATTTTAGTTAGAAGGTACTGATCGCCGACTAACCTATTTAGGCAAAAAACTTTAAAAGTAACCGTGACACACTACTACTATCATACATTCTGTACAGCTTTAAGTGCACAAAGTTTGCAGACTACGAAAATATGTTACCTAGTCTTTTGAAATTACACTACAAATCATTCTCAGCAGTTCATATATTATGAATTCAGCATCGATTAAAGCAGACAGCAATACTCGCGAATAAGAAAATTTTAAGATATTTGTTTACTTAACTTAAGTTCAGCCCCCACAAAACACCTGGTTTGACCGAGTATGGATAGACTTGAGTCTTCCTCTTCAAATACTCTCATATGACCACGCGTTTACAGTCCCTGGTGTATATGGGCTTCAGAATCTGAAAGGATCGAAAAGCGTAAGGACCAGTTTGGTCACTGGACACCTTGGGAATACACCTTTCGAAGCTGCTTCACTGCCTTGTGGATCAGACGTAAAGCCAAAGGTTTTATTTTGATAAATCACATAGTGTTATACAGTAACATTAACTGATGACGTTTCGAGCACAAACTATTGCTCATAATCATATTAAGGTATTCACACAACTTTTTACTTCGTTTATATACATGAGTGAAATTGATTTGACATTTGAATAAAAATAAATTTAAGTTAATGTGCATTCAGAAATAATATTAGTGTTATCAGTCAAATACAATCAGATGGGAAATAAGATGTTTTTATAGTTAAAATAAGTAACTTGTCAGAATGTTATAATGTATGTGAATTGAAATAGAATTTTAAGATTATTTATTATCCTCCTCTGATTTGACTGGTAATAATATCTTCCATATTTCTGGTACTTTCATTGAGTTATTTCTGTTGCATGTGTTGGGTGTAGACTCGATGAACCAGGATTCAGTAATCAACCTCTCTCCACCTACTACTGCTTACTTTTTCTCTAAATTACTTATCTTCGTGGGATCAATCATTCTGACCTTAGCCAAATTCTTATGTACTGATAATCTCACTACTTCTGATCTACTACTTTGACCTATGTAGTTGACCTCACATTTCATAATGGAATTATACTCTACCACAGTGCCCAAATTTTATACTTATATGAAGTCAAAGGCTTGGAGTGACCACTTATGACAACCACTTGCTTTGGTGTCAGAGTCCAAACAGTTCCCCAACGCTCGTAGAAATTCTGGGATTTTGTGTAGAGCATCTTTTGGTGCCCATAATATGCATTAACACACAGAGCCTAGCATGTGTACTTTTGATTTGGCAGTTGTATGAATGCAGAGCGTTTTTTGGCCGAATTTTATCTCAGATGCTTTACAGCTGACAGAAACCTGACAGGTCTTTCCGTAAGTATTTTACTTATGTGGGATTGGTATGGACCTGTGATTTAAAACAGGTTAAGAAATTTTCCATATTAGTTTGTTTATTAGATGTATCACCGTAAAACAGTATTATTTATTGGATAACAAAATTTATTGTTCATAATCATACCAATCAACTGTAATCACACGACTTGAGTTCTATATTTTACTTTGTCTTCTATTTCTCGTAGGGGTAGTATAATTTTCTAGACATCTGGGACAGGTGTTGAATCATTCCTATTACATGTATTTGCAGTTGATTCGATAAAAGTTTCTGTTATCAATCTCTCCCTCCACCTTGTGACTGTCATCCTATCCCATCAAGTTTCAAAGTCGTGTGATTATAATTGATATTATGAACAATAAACTTTGTTCGAAACGTCATCCAGTAAATAATACTGTTTCACTGTGTGATACATCCAATAAACAAACTAATATGGAAGAAATTTTGTAAATGACTGACGTTCAGTGTTGCGTTCTTTCAGTATAATAATCCATCACTCTGAAAGTCTCATGAATGTGCTAAAAGACGTTTTTGAGGTTGGTTTTATCCCCAGAAAGTTAGTCATCTTAATGACAAACAAGCCAGTCTGAAACTACCAACGACACTACGGTACTCTGAGCTGCTACACTTAGAAGAAGCACACAAAATAGGAGGAAACTAGTTTGATGAGGAGGATGCTGCAATAGCACTGACGTTTGCAATAATTGCGGAGGTGACAGCGGTTTTTTTTCGTTGTTCTGAATGATTCTGAGATGCCATTAGAAGTCTTTACTCAAAATCTAGCACTGAAAGAATGCCAGTCAATAGGAATACACCTACCTAAGTGACTTCGTGGAATTTTGTCTGATAATTCGTAACTCTTTACCAACCCAACCTTATTCAGTTAGCATTGTGCATCAATGGAAGTGATGGCATCTGTTTACAACATATATCCCAGGTAGCTCAAATTAAAAGATGATTTGTCTTCCCCCTTAACACTGTATCCAGATGCATTAACCGGTAGTGTCGTACTTAACATAAGTGGTTGGACAGCACCCGCAAGTGAAAACCAGCCTCCTTTTGATGCCCTTAGACTCCAATAAGACTTTACAAAACGTAAGAAAAAATAACACGCATTGTTGGACATCCCAGTCAGACTAGTTAGTGAAAAGTAGTTAAGTAACTCTCAGCATGAGCAGATTTCGGACAAATGTTAACAATGATAATAAAATAGGCAAATATGGGTCAAGGAAAAGATATTGCTTGGAATTTGGTAAAATATTGGTTAAATAGTGATCAGAATTGTAAAATACCGGTCAAATCTTAGTCAAGAATAGGAGAAAATGTCATATAACCGAAATTTGCCCACTTTCGCCTACTATTGGCCACGTCCATCATCCAAACCTTTTTTTACTACTTTTGTCTCACTGGAATGACGGGTTATTATTCGTTTGTTTCAGTAATGTAGGTAAAAACGAAACCTTCTATTAAAACAGTTAAGAATGGTTAGCTTGAAAGCGTGTACAAGGAAAAGGTATTCAGTACCTTTGAGCAATGAGCCTCATTTCATTTATCAAGACTGTGGCGTCAGCCGTAATACCAGCAACAGCGCATGCTATGTCGTCGTTGATCTTGTAAATCTTTTCAGAGAATACGGTTTCGTCCAACAAGTTGTTTATAAAACGCCTCTCAGCTCCTAGGACTATTCCGTCTTTCGCTACTATTCCCAAACATGTGCCCGCGTGCCCGACGGCTTCCATTGCATATTCCACTTGATACAAGCGACCTGAGACAAAAATTGAATAGGTATCGAGAGGATGAACAAACCTTCAGGTGAGAATATAGTCGTTCTAGTGTCATATCTACGAGCCTTTGTTTAGGAACCGATTAAAGTAATCACAAACTAACCATTGCTAAGGAAAACTTTCGTGCTGGGCGCCGATTGCGGAGTAAACTGAAACAACAAGGTCACCTACACTCACGAAAACTCATTGTAGAAAAAAGTGACTTATGAATACGACATTAGTCTTAATATCTGGCATTAGCTACACCTGTGACAAAACCAAATAAGCCTTGCGATTTCTTGGCTCTACGTTCTGTATATTCTGAGATGCTATATTCAGATTTGGATTTATTGGTTGAGGATAAAAGGCTTGGAATCAATATTGATCCTTTTCTATTAGATTTCTGTGCTTTTTCATTTGAGTTTATAGACGGCACTTCTCCTGGGACTCAGTTTCGAGTGTCTATGACTTGGTGGAAGGACCAGTACTCCACAGCATTATGATTGATTCTTGGCTTTTGAACTCTCCTGCTATGTTCTCTAAGGTTTCCAAACCTGGTGGGAAGGAAAAGAGAGAGTAGTTCAGGTCCGTAGTCATTATTTAAAATTTTAAGACATTGTGAATAAATCTCCTCTCTGCCTACGGTATGACAGGAAGGGTCTTTCCTCGTATGATGAATTCGTCATAACGATAACCATACGTGTTTCTTTCCTTTTAACCCTTTCCCGAATATTTCAATCCCCTCTAAGACAAGGACTGGCTATCTGGATATAGATTTCCAGTCTTCACTTCACCAGAGATGTATGTAAACAGGCGAGCATTTCTCTGGTGATTCTAGTGAAGGCTCTGCGAATTGTCCATGAGGACCTGAAACTACGTGCAGCCACCGCGCAACTGTGTGCTGTGGTTTTTAAATCGTGACTAACTATGACACCTACGTCCAAGTAAGTCTGAACTGATGGAAGTATTATTTCCTCTAGTTCGTAAGAGCTGATTTTTGCTCGTCCGTTGCGCATGGTTGGTCATTTCGCTACATTGATCGGGAGCATTCATCCTCTGGGCCACCCTGACAATTTGCTGAGGTCCTCCCACAACGTAAGCGCATCACTGTTGCTCTTCAGCTCTCTCCAGATTTTTAAGTCATCTACCTGTAGGACCATAAGGGAATCGGTGAGCAGAGATAACTAATTGATATACAAAATAAAAGGTGAGGTCCGAGTATTGTGCCTAGTAACACTCCGCTGCACACTTCTGTTCAGAAAAAGAGTTTCGAGTTGATCCTCACCCTCTTCCTCCTACCTATGAGGAATTCCCCAATCCAGTGTAGTAAGCCACCTTTGATATCGAGACTTTTCAACTTCCTGAGTAGTCTTTTGGGGAAACTTTATCGAAAGCTTTGCTGAAGTCTATGAAGACGATGCCAACGGGTCTTCTATTGTCCCTTGACTTGATCCAGCTTTCTCTTGCACTGAGAAGATTTGACACGCATGAGAGGTTTCCTCGGAAGCCGTGCTGTGCTCTGGATAACACTGTGTTGTTTTCCAGATATGCCATATACTTTTCTGGATTATCCTTTCCAGCGTCTTGATTAAAGTGCTGGTGATGCCATTAGGTCTGTAGTTTGAAGGGCTTTGTCTTGATCCTCCATTGTGGATGAGGGTTACTATGCATCTTTCTAGTCACGCGGTAACACTCCACTTAGGAGAGATATCTTGAAGATCGTGGTCAATGAGCCGGCTATATCAGCTGACAGACCCCTGAGAAGCCTTGAATGAAGGTTGATTTTCCCGCATCTGATTTCATTAGGCAGTTGAGCAGGATATCTTGGTCAACGTCAACGGAATCTATCCCATGTCCTTCTGATGCAGTCATAGCTGATCCTATGGGTTGTAACGACTGTGTAAAGACTTGGGAGAAGTAGCCTGCGATCGATCTCCTTCATAATAATTAATATTTATTTTTCGTATAAACGGGTAAGTTTACTGGAAATGCATGCCATTTTTACACACACGATCAGTAATGTTATAAATTACAATCGTGAAGTATCATAAATTAATACTCTTTCAAAGGTTTCAATTTTTCAATTATTGTACAAGCAATCAGAACAGGTTCTGATAAAAGTTAATTTGTAAATCATTTACTAAGGTGACCATCAAAGTTGAGCCACAACCCAAACTTCGTTCTGTTTCCTGCTGATAGTTATGGTCAACCAGTGAACGGCGTATATTTCGGTAAGCGCTATGCCGCCACGTGATTGAACGCAGTTTCAGAAAGAGAAGAAAATTCTCATCAGCTGCGAAATGGTATAAAAATGCAATAGTGAATAATGCATTATTGGAAGTATATTTACAAGATAAATACGGGAAGAAGCTATATTGTACTTGAAATGATAGTATACATTTTCAATGTTAAATGGTAACCATATTGGTCTAAACATGAAATATATTATGCTTTCGGTGAAGAAATAGCTTTGTTCAAACATTGGTGTTGTTGTGCTTTTAATCAAAGCTACCAGACTTAGGGCAAGCAACAAATATGAACAAAGAGCACGCTTTAGCTTTAATAGGCCTGGATAGTTAAGATCAGATAGAGTATAATAGTGCGTAAATAGAAAGATTATTGTGAGGTAGTTTAGTGATATTTAAGTGAGGAGTAAATTCAAAGATCTGAAAAATTAGAAGCCGTAGAACAAGCTGGGCTGTGAGATGTCTCATGAATTTCTGTTGAGCCCATAGGGTAGCACCTTGAGAAGAAGCTGAACAGGCTTACAAATGTTAGCAACAAAAGCACTTTTTATTTATAATTTAGACATGCACAACCCTTATCATTTTTCGTTGAGGGTACAGACTAGTGTGTAATCCTCGAGCCGTCGAAAATGCATGTCGCTGTCCTACAGATCGGAGCGATTAACATTTGTGACCACTACCATATCTGCTGATCAGCATGCGCCACTCTTCCTCCTTTTTGATTTTACGCTATGAGATTTTTTGGCAGTTACTGTAGTGGCAACACTGCGTTGCTTTGAGCGTGTGTCAGTAGCATAGCGGTTAGGACGCTCGCCAACCATGCACATGGTCCCGTTTTCAGACTCCGGCCGATTCGGTCATTTACCTCACTGAGCCAGAAATAATGCTGGTAAAGAGGAAAGGTCGGGCATGAGGCTAGCAACCCCATCCTGTAAAATAAACACTGCCACAGAAACTTCAGGCCTCTAGCTAGAAGCCCTATGTTCCACTGGGAACGTGGAGGAAAAAATTGCTTTTATCCCATCCCAATCATACAGTATGCTGTTCATTAGTAGCTTTCATGACAAGCGCTTCCCACCAGGTGACCAGATTCATCAATACCTGAGGACTTCACCAAAATATGTGAAGGGAAATATAAGGATAGGGAAGTTGAATGTCCGCACAATGTACGAAGCTGGCTGCGAAGGCTGCCCAAGTAGGCAATGAAATGCGAAAATATGACCTAAAAGTACTGGCTATCTGAGAAAGCAGATGGAACCACTGTGGATTACCCGAATTGCCACCTGGAGAGTTAGTAATCTCCTTTGGCCACCCAGACGATAACCACGACAATCCGACACTACACATCTATAAACAGCGTGAAACAAGAGAAGACAGACAACTACAAACAGCTATGGACAGTATCCCGAATGATGAGACCGAAATCCTAATGGGCGATAGGAATGCCAGCTGAACTTTGAGCTGATAATGCAGGCAGTGAGCTTATTATGAGTCAAGAGGCTTGGCGAAATGAATGAGTATGGCGAATTATTCACAGGCTTCTGCGCTTTCACCGATTTGGTTATCGGAGTAAGCATGTATAAACACAAGGATAAACACAAATCAACATAGATTTCGCATGATAGACACACCACAAACCTGATCGATTTCACCTCAATGCCACTCAAGTGGGTGGAGACGCAGTCTGCTGGACACAAAGGTGAGAAGATTAGCAATTGTGGGCTCAGACCATCATCTAGTTTAAGGTAAAGCTGAAATACATGAAAATAGATAGAGACGGACCACAAGTTTATCATTCGGAAACTGAAGGATAAAGCAAAGGGTTGCCTTCTGTCTGTCTGTCTGTCTGTTGTCTTTCTGTTTTCGACATAGAACTTTGCACAAATGTGCGGAAGTTCAAGTCGCCACACTCCAAGTAGCACGCGAAGCAAGAGTAGAAAGTACAAGAAAAGCATAATAGAGACAGTGAGCAGAGGTGTGAGACAAAGGAGTAATAACGAAGGACAAAACAGTTTCATTAGAGATCATAAGTCACAAGGAGTGAATGCATCTGCGCCACTGAGAACGATTTTGAGCCAAGTCACCAATTGTTTCCAACCATTGCTTTTTACCGTCCCGAGGACCCCAACCAGTCATGAAGTCTGCACATTCCTAGACATAGGCTAACTGTTGTAGATTTCATTGACGGGTGAAGCCATATTTTGGTTTGACCTCGGCTAGCTTTTTTCCAGTCTGACCCTATATCCGCTAACATTGCTCGTCGAGGAAGGCGATGGCTTGGCATACGTAACACATGTCCTAACCATCTCAGTCTATGTAACTTCACGACTTCATCGATTGATTCCCTTGTTTACCTAGAACTCGACGCCTAACTAGAATGTTGCTCTCCTTATTATGACACAGTACACGGGAAATAGAGCGCAGGCACCTATGACCAAGGAAAGCTAGTGTCAGTCAAGTCTCGTAAACCGTTAATACCCAGCTCTTGCTACGCTCGGGCTCACGCTGTTCCTTGAAGATTTCAGAAACGCTTAGTTATAACGGACGAAAAAACCAAAACACTGATTTGCCACTCGAGAATTCTTTACTGCAACACCAACATATAAAAAATGTTTCCACTAAGGTCTGTGAACAAATATTACAATAATAAATCACAATATTACTTCTGACGGTGTTTTACTCTCCTTTCTGAACAGCGACCGATGAGACGATGACTGTCGTACTGATGCCTCCGCGAAAATTGGGGAAGTTGGTTTTGAGCAAACAACCATGAATTGATCGTTCAATCTTCAACTACATTGACACTCCCTGGCAAAAAAGGATCTATTGCTTTTTTCTATCACGACCAATACACGTTGACTTGGATGCCATTGCGAGAACCTGGGGCACTCGGACAGAGTTGAAATAGAAAACAAACAGAAAAGC